TCTCTCACCCCATCCTCCTAGCATGGTGGTTGTGCAGTTTGGGCTAATCCGCTGTCTGAGAGTCTGCCACAGGCCAGGCTGTGTTGTGGGCACGAGGGATAAGGAAGTGAGGGGAACAGGAGCCCGTCCTCCCGAGCTGCTGTTGTAGGAGGATGGTAACACGCTGGTCTGCATCCAGAGCTTCACGATCATCCGTGGTCATGCTTTTTTAAAAAATTACTTTATTGTGGTGAAATTCACTTAACATACAGTTAGTAGTTTTCAAGTTCAGTGGCATTCGGTGCATTTGCTAAATTCAACTATCACCTCTCTCTAATTTCGGAACGTTTTCATCCCCCCAGAAGAACAGCCTGTGCCCTTTAACTATTCACTCGTCACCCCCCTCCCCTCCCCTGGCCACCACTCCTCTGACTCTGCGACTCGTGTCCGTGCTGGTTATGTCAGATTGGTTGGTGATCTGGTTATTAGATAGATTGTTTTTTGGATATTTTAATATAAAAAGAATCTAACATGTCACCTTTGGTGTCTGGCTTCTTTCACTTAGCATAATGTTTCTGAATTTCATTCAAGTGATGGCATATTTCAGTAATTCATTCTTTTTATGGCTGACAAATATTGCATTTGTGTTCATCCATTCATTTGATGGACATTCGGGTTGTTTGCACCTTTTGGCTGCTGTGACCAATGCAGCTGTGAGCACGCACGCGCACTTCCTGGGCGGACACGCGCATTCGTGTTCGGGGAGTGTGTACCTGGGAACGGGAGCGGGATGGCTGGCTCACTCGGTGCTTCTGTGGTTTACTTTTTGAGGAACCTCTGTCTCTTTTCTTAACTCAATCTTTTCTTTTTTTAATGTCGTTTCTTGGGGTTCTTCCATTTGCATTCTCCTTGTACATTCAGTACCTTTCCTCAGGCAGCCATTTGCCACCATCTTTCTGTTGCCCCCCACGCTGTAGTCTGTCCTCACTCAGCCTCCCCTTCCCTCTCTGTGGGACTCCCCCACTTCCGGGAGCCCTCTTTCTTTCCTTCTATTTTTTTTTAAAGTTTTTATTTGGATTCCAGTTAGTTAACATCAGGGTAATATTAGTGTCAGGTGTACAACACAGTGATTCAGCACCCCCACACATCACCCGGTGCTCATCACAAGTGCCCACCTTGAGCCCCAGCACCTGGTTCCCCATCCCCCACCCACCTCCCCTCCGGTGACCAGCAGTTTGTCTTCTGTATTTTATTTGTTTTTTAAGATTATTTATTTGAGAGAGAGAGAGCGCGTGTGCAGGGGCCAGTGACAGGGAGAGGGAGAGACAGAATTTCAAGCAGACTCCCTGCTGAGGGCAGAGCCCGACACGGGGCTCAATCTCACAACCCTGAGATCATGACCTGAGCCGAAATCAAGAGTCAGACACTTAACCGACTGAGCCACCCAGGCGCCCCTGTTGTCTGTAGTTAAAAGTCTGTTTCTTGCTTTGTCGCTCTTTTTTTCCCTTTGCTCATTCGTTTTGTGTCTTAAATTCCATATATGAGTGAAATCATGTGGTCTTTGTCTTTGTGTGACAGACTTATTTTGCTCACGTTATACTCTTTAGATCCATCCATGTCTTTGCAAACGGCAAGATTTCATTCTTTTTTATGGTTGAATAATATTCCATTAAATATACATACACCGCATCTTTATTCATTCATCAATTGATGGACACTTGAGCTGCTTCCATATCTTTGCTATTGCAAATAATAGTGCTATAAACATAGAGGTGCACGTCTCCCATTGAATTAGCATTTTTGTATTCTTTGTATTCTGAATACCCAGCAGTGCTGGTCGCTGGATTGTAGGGTAGTTCTATATTTAACTTTTTGAGGGACTTCCATACTGTTTTCCAGAACAGCTGCACCAATTAGCATTCCCACCAACAGTGCAAAAAGGTTCCTTTTTCTCCAAATCCTCGACAACACTTGTTGTTTCTTGTGTTGTTGATTTTAGCCATTCTGACAGGTATGAGGTGATATTTCAGCGTAGTTTTGACTTGCGTTTCCCTGATGCTGAGTGATGTTGAGCACCTTTTCGTGTATTTGTTGGCCCTCTGGATGTCTTCTTTGGAGAAATGTCTATTCATGTCTTCTGCCCATTTTTTAATTGGATTATTTGGTTTTTGAGTGTTGAGTTTGATAAATTCTTTATAGATCTTGGATACTAGCCCTTTATCGGATATGTCATTTGCAAATATCTTCACCCATTCTGTAGGTTGCCTTTCAGTTTTGTTGACTGTTTACTTCACTGTGCAGGCCGGGAGCCCTCTTTCTCGGCTGACTTCCTCATCGAGGTGGAGTGCATCGTCTTGTAGCTTTCTGAGAGAGGCTGCATGGGAGGTACATTTTTTGAGAGCGTGTGTCTCTGAAAGTGCCATTATCCTGTCTTTGTTGTTATTCTCATATTCCTTCCAGTTGGCACTTGGGCAGATCAAATTCAAGAATGTCAAAAAAAAAAAAAGGATGCCAAGTTTGAAAATAATTTTCACCTAGAAATTCGTTGGCGTCCTTTCATTATCTTTTGCCATTAGCATTGTTGTGTCTGATGGTGCTCTTCTTACTTGTGACCCTTTATCTGTAATGTGTTTTATCCTTGGTCTCTCAAGACTCTTGGGAATTTCCTTGTGTCCCTGGCATTCTGAAGGGTCATGACGATTGCTCTTGGCTCGGGTCTTTGTCTGTCTGTTGTGTTGGAGCCTCAGAGGGCACATCCCTCGGGGAACCTCATGTCTTTCTCCACCCTGGAAGTTTCTAGTATTAGCTCTTTGATGGGATCTTGCTCTCTGGTTTCTGTTCCCTCTTGTGGGCCTCCTGTTGGCTAGTGCTGGGCTTCCCGAAATGATCTTCTAATATTTTTCTTTCTCTTTTTTTCTGATTGTCCATGTCTTTTTCACTTTCCTTGGCTTGGTTGCGTAGCTTCTTCGGACATTGTAAATTTCTGTTGTAATTTGCATTTCTGAGATCTCTCGTATTTTTTTTTTTTTTTTAAGATTTGATTTGTTTATTTGAGAGAGAGTGAGCACGAGTGAGCACGAGTGGGAGGAGGGGCAGAGGGAGAGAGAGAAGCAGACTCCCTGCAGAGCAAGGAGCCCAACACGGAGTTTGATCCCAGGACCCCGGGATCATGACCTGAGCCAAAGTCAGATACTTAATGGACTGAGCCACCCAGGCGCCCCCACCCTATTTTTGAATCGATCCTTTTACATCATCCTGTTCTTTTTCTAATCATCTTGAAGATGTTAATTATGGTTTTCTTTTTGTTTTTGTACCGGCTCTACTTTGTTTCTGCTTCCTGTGGTTCCTTTTTTCTGTTTTTAAGTGTTTTTCCTATGGGACACTTTTCTCGAGTGCCCTGGAATTTTCGCCTGTGTTTACATGATGAGTGAGCCATCACAGTCATGTGCTATGGTGTTTGAGGATCTGTGTGCAGACCATGTCTGGGGGGGCTTCCCTGGGGGGCGGTCAGGCATCAGGCGAGCTCGGGGGGGGATCTGCCAGTGTCTGTACGTAGATGGGCCTTTCATGTGGAGCCATTCAGGGCAGTGGCCTCCAGTTTCTGCGGGGAAGGGCCGTAAGCCTGGCTACTGGCATTCTGGGCCCCCACTGGGGCTACGGGGCTTTAGGGCTCGCTGAACCCAAATCTCTCCGGTCCCGTGCCTCTCTCCTGCCTGCCTCGGTCCCTGGGCCTGAGTCAGGAGCTTCTCTGGGGAAAACCACCTCCATCTTCCACCTTCCATGGACCGCTGTGTGGATGGGGACGGAACCAGGCGTTGAGTCCTTTCCCTACTTTCTATACCTTGTCTTCCACCCACCTGTGGCTGTTGCCAGAGATCTGCTTCCTGACCCACTGACAATTTCCAGCGAAGATTAGATCTCTCTTCCTAAAGCCCCTCCATAGGCCCTTGGGTTCCCATTGTCCATCTTCCAAGAACAGGTAGACCCTCTCATTGTCTTCTTTACCATTTAAAAAAAATATATTGGGGCGCCTGGGTGGCTCAGTCAGTTGAGCATCCAACTCTTGATTTCGGCTCAGATTGTGATCTCAGGGTCCTGGGATGGAGCCCTGCATCAGGGCTGAGCATGGAGTCTGCTTGTGATTCTCTCCCTCTCCCTCTGCCCCTCCCCCTGCTCATGCTCTCTCTCTCTCTGAAATAAATAAGTCTTTAAAAAATAATAATTGTATTTTTAGTGTGATTCTGGAAGTTAATGGAAAGAAACTCTCATCTCAGGTTTTTCCTTTCTTCCTTATAATGTTACCTATGTGAAACATTATCAGGTGTTCTTTATACATGCTTTGTGTAGAAAATTTAGCAACTGAAGACAAAGTAGGGGCGCCTGGGTGGCTCAGTCATTAAGCGTCTGCCTTCGGCTCAGGTCATGATCCCAGGGTCCTGGGCTCGAGCCCAGCATCGGGCTCCCTGCTCGGCAGGAAGCCTGCTTCTCCCACTCCCCCTGCTTGTGTTCCCTATCTCGCGGTGTCTCTGTCAAATAAATAAATTAAAAAAAAAAATCTTAAAAAAAAAAAGAGACAAAGTAGAGGGAAGACAGTAGCAGATGACCACTGCTAATAATTCGGTGTCTGTCTCAGTGGCTGTTGGCTGGCTACGATGTTTTGTGTTCTTGTCCACCCCTGCACATGCGTTCGCGGTCTACCCCCGCCCCTGCCCTGAGCAGCACTCACGCATCTGTGCTTGGACAGGCCCACCCAGCCTCACGCCACAATGAGTGTAGACCCCATTGAAGGGGCCACCCTGGAAGGGAGACTCACATGCGCGGTGGAGTCCTTGCTCTTTGGGGACTGAGATGAGGTGCAGGAACTGACCAGAGGGGCTTTGGGGCTTCGAGTCATCCCACAGCAGCCTTGTGGGGAAAATCTGTTAAAGAACTGAGTTTGGAGGAGCACACGCTCAGTTGGGTGTGTGAGGGCTGGGCCGAGCCGGGCCTTGGTCGGGGTGCAGGGCGTGACTGTCTTCACCCCGCCCTCCCTTGCACCCCCAGGTGTTTGACAACACCCCAGCGGCCCTGGACGGCACCGTGGCAGCTGGTGACGAGATCACCGGTGTCAATGGCCGGTCGATCAAAGGCAAAACTAAGGTGGAGGTGGCAAAGATGATTCAGGAGGTGAAGGTAAGGCTGCTGTGGGTGGGGGGTGGCGGGGGGACACAGGCAGCCGAGCCACTTCGATGATGCCCAGCCTGCCAGAGGCCCCGGCAGGCCCGGAAGGGGATGGGCCCTCTCTCCGCTGCCCCCCTCGGTACACCAGGGTCTGGGCCACACTCCAGCCTCCCTCAGTGTCTCCCACATCTGGTCAATAAATACCACTCATGCTTCAGGACTTGTCATGCCTTGGCGGGAGAGTGGGCACCTTCCCGTCCCCTGCCCTTCAGCTCCCAGGGTTGCTGTTGGACTGGGAACCATGCCTCAGGGCGAGCCAGTGTGTCCCCACTCAGGGCTGGAGCTGAAGCTAGAAGTCCAAGGTGAACCTGCTGGGGTCAGTAGACACCCAGTAAATGTCAGTTGGGCCATGCTGGGCCTGGGAGGGGTTCGAGGGAAAGATGAGTGCCCCCCCTCCCCGCTTCCTCATCCCTGTAGGAGCTTTCCATCCACTGGGTCCTCCTGGTCCTCCTGGGCTCACAGACCCCCAGGGAAACTTCTGGGCTCTGGGGCAGCTCTCGGTCCTGCCCCAGGTCTTTTATTCTGCAGACCACAATCACACACGGCTGGTCCCCTGCTCCCCACGCCCCACCCCAGCTGCTACGGGCCGAGGCCTCGCCCCACAAGTCCCCTCCCCCACCAATGGCTGGCAGCATCCTGACCGCTCATGGAAGCAAGCGTGTAGCCCTTTGGCCATTTCTTAGAGATTCTGTTGCTAGTGACTTGGGAAACCAAAACAGCAAACCGAACCAATGCAAAGCCATTGGATGATTTCAAAGTCTTAGAGTCAAGGGTCCCAACTGTAAATTGAGCTTGGCCAAGTGTTCTGACTCCCTCACCCCTATCCTTCCAGACCTTTCCTCACCCCTGTCCCTCCTCTGTGTCTTAGGGACCTGGCACCGATGTCCCTGCCAGTCCCTCTTGCCTTAGCCCGGGGCCAGGTGCCTCTCCACCTTCTCCCGTTTATTCTCCTGTTCCGCCCCACGCGGCCTGGGTGTTCCCGACCCGGCGCAGCCTGTCAGGCAGAGGAGCTCTCATGGGAAGCAGGTGGACGGTGTTTCATCCTGGTACAGACCGGGGGGCGGGGCGTGCCCCCTGTGGCCGCTTCCTGAGCCCTCACAGCTGTGCTCATCCACAGCCCCTCCGTCCTCTGAGGCCTGTCTCACGCCAGCCCCCCATGTTGCGCACGAGGATGAGAGGTCTTCACATGTGTGCACAGCCGTGACACTAACGGAGGGGTCTCCCGGCGCCCGTGTTTGGCTGCGGGCAGGGACTACGGTCCCCATTTATTGGCGCGCAGAGGGAGGAAGGGATTTGCTTTAGTCGCACGGCTGGACCAGCACCCAGGTCTGAGTCCCACTGCCCTCAGCTGCCGCCTGTCACGGTCCCCACAGCGCACTCCGCCGCAGCCTGGGAGAGCCTTTGCCTCTGCCCCGGACGGCATCAGGTCATTTTGGTTTCCCTGCAGGGCTCATTTTGGAAATCCTGTTTTGTATTTGAATGGGTTCTGTCCCAAGTTCCAGGGTCTTAGGATTGCAGGGATGAGAGTGACTGTGGTGGCCTCCCGTGGTTAGGGAAGGCTCCTCAGGAGAAGCCAGCGCTTCTCTTCCAGTTGTAGAAAGTGATTTGCATTGGCCTCCCTGCTGGCTTGGGCCCTGAGGGCTGGGGGCTGCCCCACACCTGCTCCTTGGCATCCTGGCACCAGGCACAGAGAATGTGCGCAGACGTGTTAGTTGGGTGAACGCAGGGGCTGTCGAGCCTGGGGCGATTTAGAGCACAGCAGATACTCCCCGTGGGGCAAACGGCGTGGCGAGGGCTTGGAGTGGGGCGTGGTGTGGGGTAGGGCGGGGCACCTGGTTTCCTGGAGCACAAGACCCCCAAGTCCACCAGGCTGTGAGCTCTGATGGCAGGGACCGTGTCTGTCCATGTCCCTGCTGGTTCCCCAGGGCTTGGCACATAGTGGGACAAGGGGGGACCTGGGAACAAACCAGTTACAAGGCAGAGCCCGGTCACAGCCCTTGGCCCAGCATGGCAGAATTCATGGTTGGTCTGGGCCCTTCCCAGGTCTCAGGATTCCCTCGTGACCACATATTTCGGGGCAGACAGGCTTCCCCAGGGAAGGGGCTTGGGACCCAGGAGACTCCTTCTCAACTCTCCTCTTTTCCAGGGAGAGGTGACTATCCATTACAACAAGCTGCAGGCGGACCCCAAGCAGGGCATGTCCCTGGACATTGGTAAGCTGGGCCAGAGCAGTGGCACCCAGTGGCCCCATAGGCCCTGGCCCCTGTTCTGCGTTTTTATGACGGTGTGTCAAGAGTTATGTGGCTTTTGACCAAGTCAAGGGCCTGGGAGGACCCAGGGTGCTCTCCTGCAGCTGCTCCCAAGAATCTGTCCCTGATTTTGCTCTGCCCCATGTTGCAGTCCTCTCCCAGGGCCACCTCCTCTGGAACCGCGTTGCCCTAGGGTTGTCCCTTATAGGCCAGCCCCTCACCCCTCCAAAAGGGAGGGCAGCCTGCAGTGAGGTGTGGTGCCTCATGCCCACCCGCACGCCCCTATGTGGCCCTGGCCGCCTCTTCGGCCCGCCTGCTCCCAGGAAGGCTCGAGGTCTGAGCTGGACATCAGGCCTTGGATAGAGGGTCACGGGCCACCTCTTACTCTCACAGCATTCCGTGGGACAGGTTTCCTCCTGCTAGGGGGGCTGGGCTTTGGTTCTGTAAAAGCTTTAGGCTCCAGAGCTGGACATTGCAGCTTTGAGGTCCTCTGGACCAGCCCCCTCATTCCACATCAAGGCCTGAGGCCCAGAGAGGGCTCTGTGTCCCCTGGTGATGCACACCCAGATCTTTGGCTCTGGAGCCAGCACACTTTTCTTCCACCCTAGGGCCACAGCCACGTCCTGGTTTTTAGGGAGAGAGGCTAAGATCAAGTGTGTCCTCGATGGAGGTGCTCCGTAGAAACCCCTTGGGTCCCATCCCGGTCCCCTTTCAGGGACTTCGTATACGTCATACAGTAACTGAGTCTGGGGTCTGAGGTCACTTGCACTGATGGCACTTCGGCTCCCAGATGTGAAGGGAGAGGAGGCTCTCCCTGGTTTGCCTGTTGGCACTTTACATATTCGCCTCCTTCCAGCTCCCAGCACCGCCTTCACAGAAAGCGAGTAGGGCAGAGGGCCCAGCGCGGCCCCACTGGGGCTCTCCCCACCTCACAGTCACCCCTGCACCAGAGCTCAGTGCAGCCCCCTCAGCCCCTGCTGTCACTGGCCATGAGGAGATGAGCTGGGGCAGGGATGGCCTGACGGCCCAGCTGTACACTCCCCTCACTGAGTCCCTTTCTTCCCTGGTCCCAGTGTTGAAGAAAGTAAAGCATCGGCTGGTAGAGAACATGAGTTCGGGGACCGCAGACGCCCTGGGCCTGAGCCGGGCCATCCTGTGCAATGGTGAGTCCTCTCCTCCTGACCGGGGTCTCAGGCCCAGGCTTCCAGATTGAGGGGCACCACGGCCGCCCGTGGAACTGACGTGGGCCCTGCCGCCGTGGGGCCGATGGTCACCATCTGCGTCCCCAGAGGCCTCACTGCCTCCCACAGAGCGTCCGCAGCAGTCAGCCGAGGCATCCTGCGGCCAACGGCCCCCATGCCCGGGCCAGGGTTCCAGGCCCAGGTCACAGATGAGACAGATGCCCAGCGCGGCGGTGCCTCCTCCCAGCTCCCCACGCCCGTGCCTTCGCCACTGTCCCCAGCCACTGTCACAGAGCCCGCGGCAGCCACCACGTGCCCTCAAGTGCAGCCCCAGCTCCCCGCTCCCGCACTGCCCCCCCCGCACCCCTGCCTTTCTCCAGGAGGTGGCGCTGCTGCCCTTGCTGCCAAGGTTCCAGGCCAGGATGGGAGGTGGGGGGGGTGGGGGAAGCACGGACACGCACGTTCACACCCACGCATGTGTGTGGCCTGTAAAACACTTGGTCCTGCTCCCACCGTCCGCAGCCCGAGCTTATAAATAGCAGTTCTGCTGTGCATGTGTGGGGGCTAGATTTAACCGCCTATATATACTGTCGGCTCAGCTGGGCACACTGGGCAGCATTGGCTGGGACGTGGGGGTGGGGTCTGAGCTCGTTCCAAGTGGTGTACAAAAGTGGTGGCTGCTATTTTCAGCTTCTTGGTGTCTATAAATCCCTGTTACTGTAGTTACCATGCGTTGAGATGGAATTAGAACTGGTTGTTGTGTTTTTCCCCCCAAACCTTGCAATTTCCCCAGCCTTAAATAGGGTTTCTAAAATTGAAGCTGTCATGATGTCCCATGACCCAGCTAAAAACAACAGCCCGGCGCTTACGTGGTTCCTTTCCTGCCAGCCTGGCCAGGGGCCAGGGCTCTGGGGAGCCAGTGCCTGGGGGCCAGCTGGGGGCCAAGCTTCTAAAGACCCCTGTGATGCTTCCTCCCCCCGCCCCCCCAGAGCCCACATGGCCGCCTGACACCCAGCCACCTTGCCCAGACTCGGCTTCCACTCTCCCCCCCACCTCCCGCTCAGAAAACCCCGCCCGGGGCGGAAGGGGGTGTCAGAGGGCACCCCGGCTTGAATAGTGCCCAGCTGTGTGCCTTCAGGCAAGTTGTCCCTCAGCTTACATAGTCCCTGCCCCAGAGGCTCATTCAGAGGAAGGACTGAGCTGTGTGCAAGGAGCCTTGAGCGCTGGGTCCAGGCTCACAGCAGCCAAGCTCAGTGCGGCCAGGCCCTGCCCTGAGGGGCCGCCACGTGAGGAAGCCCCGGCACCGACCCTGCCCTGTGGTGGCCGCTGGTGCTCCTGGGGGGGCGGTGGGAGGGCCCTCCCTCCCTGATCCGAAATGCCGGCCCGGCAGTCCACTTGCTCCCGTTTTGAGCCCTTGAGGGGAGGCAGCTGCCCCCACCTCTCCCTTGACAGGCCTGTGGTCACCCCAGTCATTGCCTGGCCACCGTCTCCTCTGTTGGACATGAGCCTCGAGGGCATGACGTGGGGCTCATTCACCAAGGTCATTCTATGGGCCTGCCTGGGCCCGGCACACAGAAGGTGCTTGAGAAAGCTCTGTGATGCGAATGAGGATGATCGCCCAGGCCGCGTCCAGCTCGAGCTCTGCCTCAGGGCCCTTCCTGACTCGGTCTTCCCTCTCCGAGCGGTTCTCCCTCCTGAGCTGTCACATTTGCTTGTCACGCCTGCACTGAGGCTGTCACAGCGACTCATCTCTCCGGCTTATCTCTGACTGCCTTCCCCCTTGGCTGTCGGCAGGGTTTGTGCTAGAAGTACGCGGGCCTTGCCTGCTAGGACTGGGCCCGCCTTTGGCTGGCTTTCCGGAACCACCCACAGGTGGGGCCTCGGGGACGACCCAGCCGTTCTTCACCGGTGACTTTGGCAGTACCGAAATGATCACCACCTTCCTGTCCCGCTGATGTGCCGCCTGCTGGGTGGGGACTTACCTCAGGAGCGGCCCGAGGGCCGCCCTGCCTGTCCCCAGCTTGCCTGTGGTTTGGGGGTCCCGGGCTGCTACAGAGCACTCCTGAGTGCAGCTGAGGAGCCAGCTCCCCGTTCCTGGGGCCCGTCCGCTGCCAGTCCTGGCTCTCTTCCGGGCCGCCCCTGGCGCTCGCCTCACCCCGGGCTCGTCGAGACTCACTGCCCCCCCTCACCCCCACAGACGGGCTTGTGAAGAGGCTGGAGGAACTGGAGCGGACGGCCGAGCTGTACAGAGGTGAGCAGGCGTGCCCGGCATGGGCCGCTGGGGCGGGTCGTCCTGGCCCTGCTCTGACACGGTGGCGGCAGGTGCAGGAATGCCGGCCTGTGAAATCCTAGGACTACGGCCATCAGGGGTTCTTAAGAAAAAAGCCTCTTAAGACATACTTTTTCTGATTATGAAGCTAATACGTATCCATAAAAATTCCAGTAATAGCACACGGGAATGCGGTGGGAGTCTCTCCGAACCCAGCTAGTTCCCAGAGAGCCGGCCCGTAGGAGGCCTTGTTCACCGTCTGCCCGGCGGAGCCCTGGCTCTCCTGTCTGAAGGGGACCCCTCTTGGGGGGCGCTGGGCCTGGGGCTGAGCCCTAGTGGGGCTGTGGGAAAAGCCAGTGAGCTCAGGAAGAGTGAGGGCCTCAGGGTGCGGTTGGAGGCCGTGTCCTGGGGGGCTATTGTGGTCCCACCATGTGTCCCCATCCCCCTTCGGTTGGGTCTCTCCCACAGGAATGACAGAACACACCAAGAACCTCCTCCGGGCCTTTTATGAGCTGTCACAGACACACCGGGGTAAGGGCGCCCCCAGACATGCTGTGTGACCCTGGGAAGACCCTCACTCCCCTCTGAGCTCAGTGCTCCCTCATACGGTGAAGGTGTGGCCGAACCCTTCCCTGGGGCCTTCCTCACAGCCACACCCAGGCAGATGCCACAGCATCTGATGTCAGGCCAGGTTCGGGCTGAGCCTTGTCTAGATGCCAGGAGGTAGCAATAATGGGGGCCAGTAGGGAGCATCTGGACCACCTGGTCTTCCGTGGGGCCCAGTCCCTCGTCTGGGCCCTGCCCCATCTTACGTCTACGGCCGCTTAGAGTGTATAGAGCCTTCCTTATGTGTGCTCTCATTTCCTACAAGTCTGCTTAGCTGGGCAGGGCAGCTACAGTTATCCCCATTTTACAGTTGGGAAAATGAAGCCCAGGCAGAGGAAATGGTCACCCAGTCCCTTTGGGCAGAGGTGGCCTTACACCCCGGCATCCAGATTTCCAGAGCAGTGATCTGCCGTCAGGCAACACTGGCCTCTCCAGTCTTGACTGAGCCTTCTTCCCACATGGTCTGGTCACTCTGGGGAATGAGGGCTACTCTCTTGGGTGTAGACCCAGCTCCCTTGGGGGTACAGACCCAACTCTCTGCAGGTGTAGATCCACCTCCCTTGGGACATAAACTTCATTCAGACCTTGGCCTTCAGCCTGCCACGCCCCCTGCCCTGCTTCTCCCCAACAAATCCCTGGCTTCCCCAGGAAGGGGTCAGGTAGGGACAGCCTTCAGGGCAGACTTGTTCTGCAGCCTTTGGGGACGTGTTCTCCGTCATCGGGGTGCGGGAGCCCCAGCCAGCCGCGAGCGAGGCTTTCGTGAAGTTTGCCGACGCCCACCGCAGCATCGAGAAGTTCGGCATCCGGCTGCTGAAAACCATCAAGCCGGTAGGTCGTGTTGGGCGTGTGTGTGTCAGCATGTGAGGGTAGAGAGGGGACAGTGTGGCATGCAGAAGGGTCCCGGACTGGAGTCAGAACATGTGGGTGTAGGTTCTGGCTTGGTCACCTACACGACTGATTGTGGGTTGGTCACTCTGCCTCCCTGGCCTCACTTGGCATTGACCTCCAGGCTGGTTTCTGGCCCTGGCTACACCTGAGTTACGGTTTGCCCTGGGCCCGGCCCTATCTTCTCACCCTTGAGTGGACAGACTTGTCTGAGGGTGCCCTTTGGCTCTGACACCTGGGTCCACTAGAAGGATTGCTGGATCATTGCCGTTCTTTGTCATGCTGGCCAGCCTAACCCCTGCCCCCTCCTTCCCTTCCAGATGCTGACAGACCTGAACACGTACCTCAACAAAGCCATCCCAGACACTCGCCTCACCATCAAGAAGTACCTGGATGTGAAGTTCGAGTACCTGGTAAGTGGTCTCCAGCCCCTGGGGAGGGATGAGTCTGGCATGCAGGGGAAAGAACCCACCCAGAGATTTTCCCCTCAGTTGGCCACAGGATGGCAAGCAGGACGGGCCTAGAACCTCTGTCATGTCTAAGGTTGTGGGACCAGGGACCTGGGAGGTACTGGGGAATTGGGCAACAGCCTAGACCCTGCCCCGACTGCACCGAGGAGCCTCTGAGAGCCTGGGATAGGCAGAGCCCTTACTCTGGACCCCTCTGACCCTTTGGGATTTTTTGGTCACTTTTACAGTGGGTCAGTGGTTATAAAGTGGGTGCCAAGGGACATTATTGAGTTGTGGGGTTTTTTTTAAGGTGATTGACTGATTGATTGAAAGAGCGTTGTGAGTGGGAAGAGGGGCAGAGGGAGAGAATCTCAAGCAGACTCTGTGCTGAGTGTGGAGCCTGATGCGGGGTTCGATCTCACGACCCTGAGATCACGACCTGAGCTGAAATCGAGAGTTGGACACCCAACTGACTGAGCCACCCAGGCACCCCTGGACATTTTATGTCGAAATAAAAATTCTGATGGTCCAAAGAGTTGAGGGGAAAATGCTCTACCAAGCAAGCCAAGGCTCCTTTGCTGCAGGACTTCTCAGAGCCTTTGACAGGCTTGTGTGCAACATGAATCTTCTAGGGTCTTCCTATGCTCTTTTGACCATGGAATCCCTTTTAACCCAGAACCTCTCTTAGGACTTGAATTTGGCAAATGCTGGGCTGTTCCTCAGGCCCTTGCCACCCTCCCAGATGAGTGCCCTCTCCTGTGTACTGCCACCTCCCCCTGGGCCTCCCCAAGCAAGGGCCAGTCCAAGTGAGATGCCAGCCTGTCCTAGTTGAGGGTACACAGGGCCCAGGAGGCCTGGCATGGCTGCCCCCAGGTAGGGCTTTGGGGTCCTGTGGGGCATGGAAGGAAGTGGGCATCCAGGAGGCAGAGCCCCTCTGACGTCGTGGCCTCGCTGTCCCACACAGTCCTACTGCCTGAAGGTGAAGGAGATGGATGACGAGGAGTACAGCTGCATCGTGAGTTTTCAGGGGCGATTGGGGGGTGGCCCTGGTGCTGGAAAGTCTGGGGGTGCACACAGCTTCCCGTGCTTGTCTCACAGAGGCCCAAGAATGTCCTGGGGCTGCCAGGGGCAGCGGGTGGCTCAGGCCAACCTGGGAGAGGCCTGGGGGTCTGGCTGGGCTCTTGTTTCTGGAGGTGTGGGGCTGTCCATCCCCACCCAGGCCCCTGTGGGCCTCCGAGTGCCGGCCGACTTGCTGCGGGGCCGCTCCCCCAGCCTTTGCGAGGCTCTTGTGGGGAGAAGCTGACTTCCCTCACTCCCAAGAGGCCATTTTTAATCCTCTACGTTTTTAACATTTTTGATGGCAGGATCCACCTTAGCACTAAATGTTCATTATTTAACGTGCAAGGGTGTGGTCTTTTGTTTTCTTCACAAAGAGTAAGTGCTTCTGGCGTCCCAGAAGTGAGGGACCGTGGGAGCTTTGGAAAGTGCCGTGTGCTGCAGGGGTGTGAGCTGGGAGCTGGGCTCTGCAGCCTTCCCGCCGTCGTCTGTCCCAGAGCAGGCTCCCCCTCCCCCACTCCTCACCCTGCCGGGGTCCTGATGTGCTCCCCCCCTGCCCCAGGCCCTGGGGGAGCCCCTGTACCGTGTGAGCACTGGCAACTACGAGTATCGCCTGATCCTGCGCTGTCGCCAGGAGGCCCGCGCCCGTTTCTCCCAGATGCGCAAAGACGTGCTGGAGAAGATTGAGTTGCTGGACCAGAAGCACGGTGAGGGGAGTAGGTGGGCACTGGGGGCCAGAGAGCCCTGCCCAACCCCAGCCCTGTGCCGTGCTTGCGCTTGGGGGGTGGGTACCATCTCCCCATTTCAGAGCTGGGGAAACGGTGGCCCGGAAAGGTAAGGTACCTCCGTGAGGTCACATGGTCCCGCCGTGCAGAGCTTTGAGTCGGACCCAAGATGGAAAGTCCTGGCAGGAGCGGCCCCCTTCCTGGGCCCGCCTTCCTGGCTTGGGGTGGGACTGGCCCGTGCCCTGGGGGTGCAGTGGGGTCCACAATCTCCCCACCGTGCCTGGGAGCTGGGAGATCTGCGTCTGTGCCGGGGCAGGAGGCGGGCCCGGGCTGGCTGGCGGGGGGGTCTTCTCCACTGGTGCCTGTCTGCCCGCCCTCCCGCCCCAGTCCAGGACATCGTGTTCCAGCTGCAGCGCTTCGTGTCCACCATGTCCAAGTACTACAACGACTGCTACGCGGTGCTGCGGGACGCCGACGTCTTCCCCATCGAAGTGGACCTGGCCCACACCACGCTGGCCTACGGCCTCGGCCAGGACGAGTTCACCGACGGCGAGGACGAGGAGGAGGAAGACGACGAGGACACGGCAGCCGGGGAGCCGTCCAGGGATGCGCGAGGGGCTGCTGGGCCCCTGGACAAGGGTGGGAGCTGGTGTGACTCCTGAGTGCTCCCCGCCGTGGGGTGCGGATGGGGGGGGTGAGCGGGGGGACAGAGGGTGGAAGCCGGGGCGGGGCCGCTGCACCACAGGGTGGTGCATAAAGGCCTGCTGGCTTGGGGCGCTGCCTCCCCGCTCTTCTGTCCTGGCTCAGCGAACCGGGCTCCTGCCCAGGAAAGTCCCCAGGCCTGCGGCCTGACCTGGACACTGGCCCCCCTCCTCCTTCCCCCCCCACCTCCCCAGCCAGATGGAGAGCTTGGCGCCTGGAACTGCCTTAGGGAGGAGAGAGGGGGCGCAGAGAGGAGGGGTTGGAGGTGGCCCCAAGTCCAGGACCCGCTCCCCACGGGCACCAGCACTGGCCCCATCTGGAGCCTGCCAGCGTGGGGGGCTGCGGGCGCACAGCCGAGGCTGGGGCCAGTGGCCGTGTACCCCCTCACCTTGCCCCAGGCCGGCCCAGCCCCTCCCACACTCACACCTCCGCGGCCTTTATTTATTCATTTCCCCCAGCTCAGCCGAGTCCCCGGGGAAGGGCCGGGCGCTGGGCCTGTACCGAATAAACACAGACCCAGACTGAGCCGGGCTCTTTGCGGTGGCCTCAGACCCTCCTCCTCCCCTCGACGCCCCGTCTGCTGCCTCCCGGGTCCCGAGGGAGGGCGGGCAACAAGATGTATCGACATTCCCTTCATACTCTCACTCGTCTTCCTCGCAGCAGCTCTGTGAACTGGCACTCCTGTCCCCGCGTACGGACGGGAGACTGAGGCTAGAGAAGTGTCCTGCTCAGGGCCACCCAGTGTCCGGGGACACAGAGGGATCTGGACTCGAATCTGGCAGGTCCCAGAGCCAAGGCTTGCTGCTTTGTGGGGCCTCTGACCTTCTCCCTCACCTTTGCTCCGCCTGGGCTTCTGGCCATAGCTCTGCCGCCGTTGGGAAGGGCAGGGCAGACGCTGGGTCGGGAGGCCCCAAGGCCCCACATGGAGGAGAGAACGTCGGGGATACCCCCAGCACTCTCGGCGCACCTAGAAGGCCAGCGGGCGCCGCCACCCTAGTACTCTGCGTCTTTGCAAAGTGGTGGAAATCGGCTGACTGTGTCTCCTGTCAGCACAGATCACACCTGTGGTCCCTGTGTAATGAACGGTGGCCCTTTTCACCCCAAAAGTGTCCCTGTTTGAACAGTGAGTTATACGCTCATCCTGAGAAGGGGAGGAGGCAAGAGGCTGTGAGAGAACAGCCAGCGTGAAGGCCAAGGGCACAGACCGCAACCCACTGCTGGATTCCAGCCACCGCCTCTGTGACCCTGGGCTACTCCCTAACCTCCTGTGCCCCAGTTTCCCTGTCTGTGCTTGTGGCCAGTAGTGGTCCTTAACCTCCTTGGGCGCTTATGAGCATCTGATGAGTTAACACTTATAAAGGGCCTAACAGCACCTGGCACAGAGTCCCTGCTCTGAGTGTTTAATAAATGTAGTCACTGCCCTAGTGACTCAGGCATGCAGACCTGTGTGTTAGCCGGGCATTTTCGAGGGCTCCCACGCCTTCGTAGGACCCAGCTGGAAAATGAGACCAACGGTGGGGTGGGGGAGGCACGGTTGGGACAGCTCAATAGCAGGGCTCTGCGGTGGGAAGGCTCCTTCCGACTCGGGCCTGGTTTCCACACTCATGATTTGGAGGGAGGGAAGCAAAGGAAGTGCCAGGTGTCAGATTTGTGGGAAGAGAATAAATACACGGAGCGAATAGATCCCAGAGGCTTTCCAGCCAGGGTGAGACCTGGGTTCTGCTGCACTTGGATCCAAGTGCAAGAGGTCAAAAGTCAAAGTGCAAGAGAGACCCCTAGTGCCTCCAAGTCAGAACACCTCCCCCTCCATGCCCCCTCTTCCCCGTCTCTGCCACTTCCTCCCCCAACACCTTCCGGGTCCAAGGGCCCTGGGGAGAGCCTCTCAGACTCCCTCCCACCTCCCCCGACCCCCAGCCACCGGGGCTGGGAAGGCACAGGAACGGGACCTCTGTCTTGCAGCTGAGCTTTATGAACTTCAGTTTCGCACAGGCCGAGCCCTGTCCACGCACAGCAGCGTCCCCAAGCCAGGCCAGGGCCTGGCCACGGCCCGCCGGGCAGATGAGGGAGGGATCTCCCCACACACACTCGGACCCCAGGGGGGACCACTGCAAAGCAGCCTCCAGCGTGCCGGGCCCTCTTGGGACAGCCGGGGCTCTGAGAGGGTAAACCCCATTCCCAAAGTCACCAGCCACCTCGCCTGGTGCTCCCGGGGGCTATACAGACTTGGGGTCCCGCCCTGGTTCTGCCTCCACCTCTGGTGCCGCGGCCCCGGGGATCGGCACCTCCCGGGCTTGGAGGCCGCCAGGCTCCTCGGCCCCGGTGGGCAGGGCCTCAGAGTCGCCTGGGGCCTCAGCGTCCTCGCTGTCGCTGGCCGCGCCCTCGGCGCCTTGGCCAGGCCGGGTGTGCTGAGAGCGGCGGCCACGCAGGCAACACTTGGTGGCGATGGCCATGAAGACCCCGGCCAGGGCCACCTCAGAGCCGGCCAGGTAGAAGATGATCTCGTAGTTCTTCAGGGCGTCCACCAGGCGGCCTGCGGCGGAGGGAGGGGGGAGGTGAGGGCCTGCGGGGAAGCCCACCTTCACCCTTCCCCACAACCTCACATGCAGGGTAGTGCCCCCTCCACTTGGTGGGGTTCACATTTGCGTGACACAGACACATGCCCCAGTCTTTATTCCCGTTTTCCAGAGGCAAAACCCCACACACGTTCTGCCCTCTGAGACTAAAAATGTCACCACCACCTTGGACCTCAATTTCTTCAGTGATAAGGGGCCTTTGGTGAGGCAGCGCTTTACGGGTTACAAGGCACCCGTTCCACGCCCAGGCTGAAACCCCACCCGCGCCCTGTGACTTGCCCAGCTAGCGAGTCCGGGGAGGGGGCACTGGGCTCAGCCTCACCCTCCTGGGGGCCCCTAACTCTTGCTCTTTCCACCTAACCCCCCTGGTCTTCAGGGGCCTGGCTCAGCTTTCTCGCCCTCTCCGTCCCAGCCTCCTCCTGCCCCTGCCAGGGGCCCCGGTACCCCTAGGCTGAGCTTCCACTACCACGGGCTGGGGGCAGGACTTGTGGGTCACAATCCCTGTTGCCCCCTCTGTATTTTCCAAGTGTCCTCTCCAGGCACGTATTACTTTCATACTCAGGAAAATCTTTTAATTTTAATTGCAAATATTTGCCCCCCAAGTGTGGTTCCTCTGCGGGCTCCATCCCCCCCCCGGCATTTTTGTCACTCACCACCCCAGGCTGTGACCCCTTGGTCTACAGCTCTTTGGCTTTGGGGAGGCTTCCCGGTGTCCCCCAAGCCGGCTGCTTGCCTGAGCCCCTCTGAGCACTGCTCCCAAACTTGCCTTCCTGGTCCCTGCCCAGCCAACCACTCCTGTCCCTGCCCCTCCTACACTCAGGCCTGCAGCGTTCACCTCCTTACCCCCTATTAGACCCACCCCCCAGGTCACATGAGAAAATGGAAGATGGATCCCTGAGCTTCTGGGGGGCTGGTTTTGTGGCTTTTGATGGTGAGCTCGGGGGGCCGCCCTCCCACCGAGGTGAGATGACAAGGCCTGATGACACTCGGCTAGCCCAGCCCTGGAAGGAGGGGCAGTTCACCCTATCTCAGGGGCAGCCTGGGCCCCAGCAGAGGTGGCCTCCCCTCATTGCTCATCCCACAGCCTGAGCACAGACAGGCTCTCCGTGCTGTTTCAGAGACAATCCGCCAACCCAGGAGGACCCTAATGTCCCCTCTTTCCAAGCTCAGTTCCTGCCTCACCTGTATAGGAACCCTGTCCCCCTAATGTGCCCCACACTGTCCTTTGTCCTGCCCTGCGAGGCTGCCTACATGCCGGCCCCTGCAGAGACCCTTCCCTGGCCTCTCATCATGGTGACTTCCTAAGGCCAAAGACTGTAGAGTGCCCAGTGGCGGCGCGCCCAGTGGAAGGCCCAGACCCTGTCCCTGCACGGTAGCTTCACCAAGCGAGGGCAGGACCTGGCCACGGCCTGCTGGACAGATGAGGGAGGGAGCTCCCCTCCTGGGCCCCAGGGTGACCGCTCATGAGCACCCCCACTCTGCTCCCGGCCTCACAGCTGGTTCCTCAAAGACACTGTCCCTATCCTGGTCACCCTTTGGAGGCTGGGGACACTAAAGCCCTCAGCTGCAGTGTTCCAAAGGTAGGGGCATTTAGCCCTGGGCAGGGCTCTGCTCTCCCTCTGGGACCGCACTGTACTAGGCCCCTGTGCCTCAGTTCACCCACCTGCAAAAGGAGAATAAGCATCTGTACTTCACAAGGACTCTGTGCCAATGTTTGAGATGACCCAATGGGTCCTCTGTGGTCAGTGTTGGGTTCCTCCTGGCACCTTTCCCGGCCCTTCCGCCCCCACCCAGAGCTAGTAGTACCGGGCTTGGAGGAGGGGCTAATTAGCCACGGGAGGGGGGTGCCCGCCCCACCAGGCTGTCCCGGCCAATGGGTCCCTTCCCCTCACCCCTGGAAGCTCCATCTGGGGCAGGGAGGGCGCTTCCCTCGGTCTAGGGAACTAGCCCCGCGCCCCCTCCTCCCGGGAGGGGGAGGCGCACCGGCAGAGGGCGGTCCGATGAGCACAGCCACGGCCTCGACGAGCAACACCAGGCCCAGCGCGCTGGGGAAGCGGTGCGAACCCACGGCTGCCATGAGCACCTCGAACTGCAGCGCACCCACCATGCCATACGAGAGGCCGAAGGCGACGCAGAAGGCGACAAGGGCGCCGTAGGAGCGCGCGCGTGCGCTGCTCAGATCCGTGAGCCCGTTGGCCATCAGGGCCAGGCTGAAGAGGTAGGCGACATGGGGTCGCAGGCGCGCCAGGCCCGCCAGGGCGCCGCACGCCGGCCGCGCCACGATGTCTACGAAGCCCACGATGGACAGCAGGAAGGCGGCGTCGGCGTCCGGCACGCCCGCGTCCTTGGCGTAGTTCACCAGCAGGATGGCGGGCACGAAGAGCCCGAGCGCCATCAGGAACTTGGTGACGGCGTACACCCCGAAGGCGCGGTCCGCGCACACGGCCACGTCCAGCAGGCGCCGGCGGGCGCGGCCGCCAGGGGGCGC